AAGATGAGTGCTCCCAAGTCCTCCAAACCTGGTCGCCCTAAAATCACGTTGTGCGAGCACATCAGATTTACCACAATGAATTTCATGTCCAACTTTCATACGTTTGAATAGCTACCGATCTCTACGGGAAAAATGATAGAGCCCTCGGACTCTACGGAATCCCCCGTGAAACCGGCCAGTGGCGTCTTCACCGAGGCCAGCTGTTCTTGGGTCAGGCCTAGTTTGGTGAAGGTTTCCAGGTATAGAATATTGACACTGCTCCCGGTGTCTACCAAAACTCGCCAGACGACTACCCCATTTACATCCATCGCGATGACTGGCGCATCTCGATGTGGCATCTGGCCGGAGGTAAGTCTTTGTCGGTGAAGGTGATTGGCTCTGGACTCACCTTCTTGATTGGCATCTGGCGCCGCTCTCTCGGTCGTATACCGTCCTAACGTACAACTGTCGAGCCCATGTCTTTCGGGTGTTTGACGAATCACCCCCCCCCCCCTCTGGGCCGCCGACTATCATGTTGATGATGGGCTTCTGCTTCCACTATGCATCTTCTTCTGCAGAGGTCAGTCGTTTGCCGCGATCTCTATCGCCCGACCCAGAGGGATCATCACTCGCCTTAGTCTGGGATGCGGCTTTTCTCTGCCACTGGTTGGGAGGTTGAGTGCCCTACTGAATGATCTCCTCCATGATTTTCTTTAAGTAGATGCATTCCTCTGTGCTGTGAGTATACGACTTGTGGTAGCGACAATATTTGGCTAATTTGCCAGGATCCGCCCCATCAGGGTGAACATTCGGTGGGGAAGCTGGTGGTGACACGTCCTTCTTGATTTCGTGCACCGGGCGAGGGGGAGGCGGTCGGTAGGGATGAGCGCTGACCCTGTCATAGGAACGTCTCCCCTCCGGGTGACCTGGTCGATCCCCCCGATGTTTTTCCCTCGTATCACCTCTTACTCGTTTGGGCCTAGAAGTCCCACCGACTTCTTGCTGTCGCTTGTATTTCATCGCTTGCTCCGTATTGGCTCACTTATTGGCCATGTGGATGGCTTCCGCGTACGTGGCCGGTCGATTATCCCGTAGGTCGCGGTTCAATTGCCCTGATCGAAGCGACTCGATGAAAAATGTGAGCGGGATTTGTTCCTCGACTTCCTCTATAGCCTGAATCTCCTTTTGCTAGCGAGCCAAGTAGGTTTTGAGTGACTCTCCCTCCTCTTGATGGATGTCGCCGAGGTGCGTGTGGTCCTTCTGAGGCTTGATGTTGGCCACACAGTGGCTCATGAAACGGTCGGCCAAGCCCTCGATGTTGCGGATTGATCCTGGGGGAAGGGCGACGAGCCACCTTTGGGCAGGCCCTTTCAGGGTCGGCAAGAAGGCGCGACACATGACCGGATCCTTGACTCCTAGAACTTACATCTTTGCCTATTAACTTAAGAGATGTTCGCGAGGGTCACCTGTCCCATCGAAGGTAGCCTGTTCCGGGAATTTGAAATCACCAGGTATCTTAAATGACATGATCTCTGTCGAAAACTGCAGGGCGGTGAGGAAGGCTCGACCGGTTGACTTGAATCTACCCTTTACTTGATCTTTCAGATTGCGTATTTCTTGCTCTAAGTAGGCCACTTCGTCAGGGTTCCCTGTCCGATTTCCTATGGATTCGGTGCTTTCGCCTTCTTGAGACTCATCTTGCGGTCCGTCTCCCGTTACCTGCTTCTGGGTTCGTCGTCTCTGAGCCCTGGTCATCTTTGAGCGGGTTGTCTTTTCTCTGGTAACTCCTCGATCCTGCCGGCTAGGTCGGACTCGGATGACCGTTTTTTTCCCCTAGTCGTTCTCGCACAGGTCGCCGAACGGCGCCAGGGCCCAGTCTCGAATGCACCGATCGAGCTGACTGACTGTCCTGCCCTCGGTTTTACTGGACTCTGCCCTCATGTCCTGAAGGGCGGCCCTGATTGCGTGTCCTCTCCCGAGGCGATTGAGGACTCGGCGAGGTCCTTCTTCCTCGCGTTCGGTCGGCTACCGCTCAGGCGATAGCATCTACTTGTGCTGGTGTGAGCGGTACTATGGGCAGCGGCGGTGGTTGAGGAACCAAGTCCTCCTCCTGCCCCCGTGAGTTCCGCTGACTCCCTTGTTCCCGCGGATCCAATCCTGCGTTTCGTGTGCTACGGCTTCCCGAGGTATGGCTCTGTTCTCCAACCATAGTTTCGATCTCTTGTTCCTGTCGACTCCGCTGTCTGGATGCTTCCCAAATTTGCTCAAATCAAAGAGGTAAACACGACCTTTTGTCACATTCCCACAGACGGCGCCAGTGTTGGTTTTAGGATTTTTGGGCCCAGGGAGGTCCAACACAACCGTGGTTGGTGGATTCAGCTTTCAAACAAAGCTATGGGGCTTTCAAGGGAAATGGCTACAACTTCTTAGTATCTTTTTTGTATATTCTTTGAGCAATCTCACTTGGGTGTCTTTTACATTTTCCAAGGGCCCTTTTTATAGGGGGTCACCCTTGTTAATTTTAAATGCATACATTAAAGTGTCATAATGTGGCTTATTAAACCTAAAGGCCGTTGGGCTGTTGTTACTGGGCCTCCCAACGGCCTGTTTGACCGAGCTTTTGAAGAGGCTCTTTAAATGCCAACGACTATCTTGCTGAGCCGACCTCCGCTCGTGCCGACTCCCCGCTCGCGCCGACCTCCTGGACTCGTCTATAGCTATCTCTAGGCTTTTCTTCCTCTTCGTTGGGGCCGACCTTTTGTGGGCCCAATCTCCACCCCTTCCTATCCTCTTTTCTCTTCGGGCCCTAGGCCCATTGGATCTGTACCCCATCAGTGTCATTTTTGTAAATTAATAAGAATAAAAAAAAATGTTAAAAGTCAATAGCTTATTTTGAAACGCTATTTAGATGAGCGTTTCAAAATAAGTTATTATTTTAAGCTTCCTAGCTAAGTTTTACCAAATAGAGCTGATAGCTACTTGTTTGTAGAAGCATGTTGCCAAACCAATATGAGTGAACAATTAATTCGTGTCGGACATTCAAATCAATATATAAAATTATAAATTTCAAGAATAAATAATAATCTAATAATTAAGAGCATCTCATTATCCACTATCTCACTAAATCACAAAAACTCTTCTCCCCATTAATTTTAAGTTTTATTCTCATTTTCTATGGACCCACCATTTTATTCCATTATATTTTAATTATTTCTTTATTTATTATCATTATAAAATGTTTAATTACAATTATTATTTTTTATTATATTTAAATTAAACATGTCAAAATTAAAATAAATTTATAATTATAAATTTTCTATTCTAATAATATGGTATCAAAATTATATACTACATTTATAATGCATAAATTTTTGTTCAAATTTTAATAATTTAACAACAAAATTAAACAAGAAAAACTTAAAAATAAAAAAAAAATAAAAAGAAACTGGTCGTTGCAACGGCCAACTTAAATAAATAAAAATAAAGCAACTGGTCGTTGCAACAGCCAACTTAAAAATAAAATAAAAAATAGAAGAAGCTTAATTTCAGAGTGGCCGCCAAGCCAACTTAAAATAATAATAATAATAATAATAATAATAATAATAATAATAATAATAATAATAATAATAATAATAATAATAATAATAATAATAAATTTAAAAGTAGAAGAAGCTTCATTTCAGATCGAGTGGCCACCAGCTGGCGGCCACTCTGAATTGGGCGGCAACTCTGAAGCGCCCCAACATCTATTTTTTTTCTCTAACAAAAACCCTTCACTTGCAGAAGGAAAATTCAACAAAAAACCATCCTTCAAGTTAGATAAAAATTACGACACTAGTTTTTTATTGTATCAAAAACCATTCAAGATCCCCTATTGGGGTTGCTCTAAGTTAAAAAAGAAAAGAAAAAGTTACCATATAATAAGTCACAAAATTTACAATTTTTGTGCAATTAGATCAACCAATGAACTTAAAACATGCAAAATCAAACTATCAAATAAGTAGAATATATGTGACCGGGGCAACCTAGGCCAATTGATTTTGTAGTTGACTTAGTAATCATAAAGTTTCAAGTTCGACCTTATGCGAGAGCTGTCTATTGATTTTCTCATTTTGAGCTGGTTGTGATCGAAATTAGTCCCTTATAGAAAATATAGGGTCACAATGAGGAATTCACCGGCACAATATATTTTGATAAGAAATTTCAATTAAGCACGTTTTAAATTCAGTCCTCCAATTACACAAAATCTATAAGTTTAATAGCTTCATTAAGACTTATTTTTAAACCCCCCCCCCCCCCCCCCCCCAAAAAAAAAAAAAAAAGAAAGAAAGAAAAATACAAAAAAAAAATAAAAAATCACATCACAAGTTGCACAAGTGAAGTCACAAGTTTCCCAGGATATATTTCTATGTCTGTCATTGTCGTAGTTGAAAATGTAATTAATGTACATTGGAGCAAGGTTTGACATTCAAATTTAGCTTTCCTTTTACATTCAAACTGCACGAAAAGTGATGATAAGCCGCTTGCCTTTTCATTTTTGCTAGTGGTTAGCTTTTTTCTTTTTTAATCAAAAAATTTGAATTGATGTGTAAATAGCATCATCTTTGAAGAAATGTCTTAACTGAATTAGTTTTATCATAATAAATAAATATCAATACTATGAAAATGAAAAATCATATAACTTAAATTTAGCTTTACTTTATTTTCAAAAAAAAAAAAAAAAAATTTAGCTTTACTTTTAAAGAAGTACTATACCCGCTTATGACTTAATTGAATTACTCTCATCCCACGATATATATGCAATTACCAAAGCAGTATGAAAAAAATGGCATAATAACTTGAATGGCCCCCTCGTGTCATTAGATCACAAGCTCATTGAAAATCCCTTGTAACTTGAATCTAGCATTTTTTTTAATTTGAGAGTTGGTGTATGTATGTATAATTGTATATAATATAATAATAATAATAATAATAATATAATAATCGTCAAATAGTCATAGAAGAAAAAAATATACAATTAATTTAAACAAGATTAATTCTTTTTCCAACTTTGTAAGAAAACCATGCACTAGGCTCTAAGGAAATAGTATTATAAAAATATTTTAGAAAAAAAAAAAAAAAAAAAAAAAAAAAAAAAAAAAAAAAAAAGGAGAAAAAGGGTAAGAATAAATAAAGTTACAAAATAGCACCGCCCAACTATACCATTCATCAGTCACCACCACCTCCGCCATGCAAAGCCGCCATAGCCACCACCCCAAGTTTCTGTAGATTCAGCTTAACCACCGTGTCGGTAAACATACGGGTATCGGCTCCAGTGTTCCCTTCGGGGATATCGACGATGTAAGACTCCAAAACGACAGTGTAAAAGCCATTATTATTAGTAGTATTCTGGGCTTGGCGGCGGCGGAACTGGTTGACCGACGTGACGCTCCGGTAGTTATTGAGGCGGTGCTCGCCGCCGACGACCCGGAAGCTGAGGATGTGGTTGTCGTCGTCGAGGATCTCGAGGCGCTCGGTGCTGGTGGCGGCGGGGATGCCGGAGACGACGGTGACCTCCCGGATGCTACCGACGCCGCCGTCGCCGGTCATCCGGCAGCTCTTGATGAAATGCTTGTACTTCTCCGGATTGTCGAAGCGGCGGACGATCGGCCACACCACGCTCGCCGGCGCGTCGATGTGCTGCGTGATGAGAGACGTGCATGTGTTGGGCACCGGATCGAAGGTGTGGTACCGCCGGATCAACGGCTCTAGCTCCGCGAATTCCTCCTCCGTCAGCCCCTGCGGGATTTGGACCCTCTCCGCCATATCTTCAATTTCTTGCCAAATATAATAATAAATATCTGCAAGCTAAGGGCGAGGGGAGCTGAGATCACACAAACCAACTTCCTTTTAATTATAATTTCTACTGTGTTGCCTTATAGGAATGAATCTATACTATATAATATGAACAGTAGATCGAGACTAGAGGATATATATGTATGTGTGAATAGCTAGGCTCCATCCCCCATATATGTATTGTTAAAGCTTTGTTTTGTAGATGAACCCACAACCCTTTTGAGTGTAAATAAATCTTGTTTTATAATTATAATCAACAAAGTATTACAAGAAAGTAAACCAATCAGTCTATGAATATTTATAGTAGTTGACCTGCTCAAATTAAGGGAGTAAGAATTCGAACTTCTCATGACCTTATTAGTAGGCTATGTGGGTTTAAATTTGGACAAAAAAGGACTGAAAAGTATAAATTTGACCTTTTAATAATCACTAATGTACAAGTATCTGGGTCAATCATTATTCAATGAACCATATATTGTCCACACATTTGTGTAAACCATAAATAAAGAGTACATTTTTAATATATACTAAAAGTACATTATTTGAAAGTACATGACTTTATATATATATATATATATATATATATATATATATATATATATATATATATATATATATTATCAAATAATGTACATTCAGTACACAATTAATGTACTTTTAGTACATTAAAAATGTATATTACATTCATGGTCCACATAACTATGTGGACTATAATCTACACAATAATTTGTCATTTTGGGTCATGAAAGCTAGTTGATGCACATCTTGCAATTTCTCTTATCCACTCGTCTCTAGAGCAAGAGCTACAAGGGAGGGCCTTTAAGATTGAGATTCAAACTTATAAAAATTATGTCAATTAAACTATATATAGACTTGGGATTCAAACTTATAAAAATTATGTCAATTAAACTATATATAGACTTGGGCTTCAAAAAAAACTATATATACACCCTTTCAAAAAAACTATATATAGACATACACAATTTTAAAGTATTAATCAGTTCCTTATCAATTTACACCGTAACTCTCAAAATATCTTATACAAATTAATACTATGCAGAGATGCCGTATAAGAAAGTTCTAAAATATCTCTTACGATGACGTGTTTTAGGCATATAGATATTTTGATCATATTAAATGATTAAAAAAATTGATTTCTATTATTTTTATGATATATATAGAGATATTGAATTAATGAATTAGACAATATTGAATTATTCCCGAATATATTAATGAAATAATGAGTGTCAATTCATATTTGGTGTGAGGAGCTAAACCTGAGTAGAAATTAGAAGGTAAGATGGGACAGATTGATTGTGAGCAATGGGCATAAACAATTTATGTTGCAACCAAATCAAATGATTGAGTGCCATAAGATAAATACTTGGTCAATATGATTTACAATATGGCCAATGCCAATGAACAATAGTCAATTGATTAATGATAGATGTCTTTGATTAATTGCCAATGATTAAATCCACACTTTGTACTTTGGCTTTTGTGTGTGTGTAAATTGATCTAAACAGTAACTTTATAAAGTAAAATTATTTATGATATTTATTTTAGAAAAAAAAATTGAGAAATTTGTAATTTGTGCTCCTCACAAATATGCCAATTATTAATGTGACCTCTTAATTATTAGTGGTGTAAATGTTGTCCCTCAATTTACACCACTAATAATTCATGGAAGGGCAATATATGTCCGATTTTAAAAATTAAAGGCAACATTTACACCACTAATAATTCAGAAGTGACATTGATAATTAATACAGTATATTTGTAAGAGACATAAATTACAATTTTCTTTTTATCATAATAAAAATTTGAAAAATAATTAGCGGACATCAATTAAACATCAAATCAGACATATTTTATAGGTTTAGAGGTGCGGCATTTGTTTTAAGAAATGTATTTACTTTTGAGAACAAGAAATGTATTTACTTAGTGTCACATCTCCTGAAATTACACATAATCTAAAATTTATAGTGAATCTAATATAACTTAAACTTCCACATTGCCCGGCCATCTAGAGATAAAAATTAAACAAAATTAGAGGAAAAAAAATTAAAAGTATTAAACAAGATTAGAGAGCTAACTTTTAGAATATTTTACAACATCACATCTTATATAATGAGATTATTGTATTTTTTGTAACAATATTATAAAAAGAAAATCTAATTTCATCAAATATAGTATATTATTAACATACAAATTTTGTAAGAGATTATGAATTTTTCTTTTTTAATTATTTTCCTTGCCTACTTGAATTGAATATTTTGACTTTTGAGTATACCATTTTTATTTTCTCTTTTAGTCATTGAAATTTTGCCTTAAAAAATATTTAAAAATAAATTTAATATTAAATACGTTATCATTAAATTTCTTCAATGCTAAGAAATTTTCACATGGTAAAGTGAAAATATCATTTTTTTTTTTTAAGTTGAGTTAATATCAAAGCGCATAATAACAAAAACTGTACAATAAAGAAAATAAAGTGTATGTACTTTTCACTGCAATTAAATACGTATAATAACTCGCAAATCACATAGGATAAGTAAATTGCACTAGAAAAACTATGTATGATCCACTCAATCAAGCTCACATGGGCTTAATTCACTAGTTCAGTAGACAGTATTTGAAAAAAGAAACGACGACCAAGGTTCGAGCCTCGGCAGTGGCAAAGTAGGCAGATCCCTTGTATGCACCGGTATTTGGCCTGTCTGCTAAGTCATTAATTCATTGTGATTTACATCCTCCCAAATGTTATGTCAGACCGGAGTGTGGAGCCCTTAAAAAAAAAATTTAACTTTTTGAGAGAAGAATAAAATATTAATAATAATTAAACTTATAATATTTAAATATGTGAGAGCCGTGTTTCACTCACTCGATGACATCATCATTTAGTACTGAATAAACCCCTTTTAATAGAGATGGTATCTTTTGAGTATTGTAAAATGTTGGCACATAATATTCCCTTAAAATGTGGATAAACAATAATGGTTGGTCCATGATGACACAGTGAACATTATCATGTTTGGTGGGCTTGTTTCTTTATTTAATCATGCAAATTATTGGACATACATGACAGTAGATTTCGTTTTTTAAGAACTCACTTTTGTTAGTACCAAGGGTTGCCCACTTTCTAATTAAGGGATTAAAAAAATGAGTCATGGGCCATCTCATAACTATAATTAGAAACACAATATCATTTTTTCTATTAAATTATATATTATTATACTTTTTGGAGGTTTCTTAATTCTTGAAAAATGACAAAACATTAACATATGATACAACGTAACCTCAATCTAAGAATGATGCCTTTCGTCGCTTACCATATCAAGTAAAGGATTTTATCTACTGCGATATATTATATCATTTTGTCACAATCATCCAATAATTTTAATTTTATCATAATATAATATATTCTATAGTCACAATTCGTTAAGAGTTTTTTTCTTACTTAATAGACTTTAAAAATCTTCAATATTTTAATTTGTATTCTTCATTTCTTGCTTTCAAATTATAAAAACGTACAAGTAATAATATTTTTCTCTCTTTTTTTTTTTTTCCTTCAATTTTTTTTTTATAACTTTAGACTAATTGTGAATTTCTGTCGACTGATATACTTTTTGTTATCAACTTTTAAAATATACATATATACGGAGTAATAAATTTTAGATGGAGTAGCTAGCAATCAAATTGGTGGTACCTAGAAATATATAGTATTATTGCATTGGCATTCACATCCCCAAACAAAAAGACTAATCCAGTTGAGTATTGATTGTGCTTCATTTAGGATGTGTCTCCCAATGGTGTTACTGCATGTATATGAAACTCCTTTTACTTAAACTAGTATCTTTTGATAAGAAATTCATTATTATTATTATTATTATTATTATTATTATTATTATTATGTTGTTGTTGTTGTTGTTGTTGTTGTTGTTGTTGTCGTAAGTTTTGGAATGAAAAGAGTTTTATGTCAAAGGCTTTGTGATCAAATAGTATAACTGTAATTTTCTTAAATAGGAAGTCAGACTCACAAGTTTGAACCCCTGCAAATCAATAAAACTAAATAAAGAAAAAAAAAGTTTTACAAAGCCCCTAAAAGGGCAAAATAGGAAATGAGCTATCGTTGACAAGAGGCAAGCTGGTAGATTCGTGGATCATGTGAGGGGCTTAACAAACTAGCTGCGTGAACAAACATCAGCTTGCAGCTTGGGCCCCACTTACATCCATTTTCCATTTTTTAATTATTAATTTTTTCTAATAGGGAGTATATTTAAATACATATACGAAAAATTAAATAATAGAATTCAAACCTAACTCTTTGTTTTTTCTCAATGCTAATTACTTTTTTCTATTTTTGAAAAGTGAGTATTGCAATATATTACACAACAAAATCGAATAGTCAGTGAATATTGCTATTACAATTGACATTTTCTTGAGAAGAGTCACAGAGATGCTATATGAACACAAGGTGCTTAGCAGAGATATAGTAATTTAATAAAAAATTTTAAAATCATATATTTAATTATATTATATACACAAAGATACTTGATAAGTGTGCATTATAATTAATTAATATAATAACATCTTCTCCCAATTAATATAATAATATCGTTAGAGGGATACGTGGATTAATATTGAGTGAATGGTCCCTCCATTTTTGATAATTTTATATTTAAGTCTATGATCTTCTAATTCTAGAGTTCTCTTAATTAATAAAATAAAGAATTATTAAAAATACCTACAGAAAAAGAAAGAGTAAAGAAATAAAAAGAATACTTTTATTTTTGAAAATTTTGTCCCATATTATCTGTGGAGTTTAATTAACAAGATTTGATCCAAATGATTTATAATTTAAATTTTTAATAACATTTAATTTAGTGTAGGTAAATCAAATTTATATATGAAAATCACACCAAAAGTACTATTGAATATAGACATTTGTATTTTAAAATTATAAAAAAATATTTAAAAAAAATAAGCAAAGAACGAGTAGTATTAATAAATATTGTAAACATTGTGTTTACTTTGATTTTTCTTTTCTTTTTTTTTTTCAGATTTTCATTATTTATTTTTGCTTTCAATTTTTTTTAAAAAAAACGTTTACAAGAATCCAAAATTTCAAATTTCTTACCCAAATTTTATATTTACAATGCTATCAATAAATCTAGTAGAATTAATGATTGA